CAAAGTATCGATTATGTTTTAATACAAGTTTTACTTTTCCATATGATAATGTACAGGCTTTAATTAAATCGATAATGCTTTCTGGTATTTCAATCTTATTATTCAGTTAATTAAAAAATCATTTATTATTAATCAATTTAATAATTTTAATAATATAGCAATGAATATATTTTTAATGTATGCATTTAAATAAATTACCTTTGATAAAAGGTTAAGAACATCTATTATGTTATTGGTTTCTAACCCAACAGATACTGCTGCATATAAAGAGTAAGGAGTCAATTTATATTCATGAATATGTGATGGTCTATTAAAAGATTTTTTATTGGTTAATCAAATTTAAAAAATTTAGCGTTTGAAAAAAAAAATAAAAAAAATACTATATCGATGAATTTATTACTACCTGCTAACAGGTTCACTAATAGTTATAAGGAAGTCTTGAGCTTTTTCTGTGAAAGGAGAGAAACCTTCAAGAATTATATGACCATTTACAGGATTTATCCATAAAGGTCTGTTTGTATGATCTTTTTTTAATTTGATATATGAAAAATCATCTTTTCCAAAAAAACGAGAAATTGAATCATGAGGTGCTTCTCTAGTTTCTGAGCTTGCAAATGAATTCGGATCCAAAGCTGCAATCTTTGGGACCATTTCTTCATTATTTAATATTTTTTAATAAGAAATTATTTATTAATATTTTAATATCAAGAAAATTTTATATTTTTAAAAGTAACTTGATAGTGAAAATATACTGGTAATGATTTCATCCTCATCTTCAGAGTGGTCAGTCGGCGTAGCCGAAACTGTTGCATTTTTTGATTGTTTGCGAACCCTTTTGATTGGATTTAAACTGATTGAAGAGTTGGTATACTCGCCATCTATATAATTTATTTGTTAATATTTATTTACAAAAGGAAATTTTTATATTATATTTTTAGAAAAAAGATCAAGGAAAAAGAAACATGGAAGTGATCGATTCTATATTTTTTATTTTTTATTTTTAAATACAACTATATAAAACTATAAAAACTAAATTTGAGTGAATATCTTCCTTAAGGACATACCATCCCTAATTCGTTTTTTTGAAGTTGCTGCTGCTGGCGGCATTTTTTAAAAAATGTAGAATGTATTATAAAGACTAGTTGGAAAAAAAAGATTTGGTCGATATCATTAGGGGGTCCTAGTTCTGTGTTTATATAGTAATAGACGATCTGCGGGTAATAAGGTAATAAATTCAATAATTGTATATATTAGTAATATCGCTATAAAAATTTTCATCACGTAACTTTTATGTCCCGTTGACACAAAATGCAATATTCCCATATTATGTATCACTACAAGTATCTCATAATAAAAATTAGGAGCTAATTATTTTTTATTTTATTAATATCAAATAATAATATACAGTTCATTCTATCTATAACTAACCTTTCGCCCCTCCATATATGTAATTTTTCTGCCTTTGTTCACTATAGAGTGTTTGCTAAGATGTTCGTTATAGAGATATTTTACTTGGTGTTCATTATAGAGTGAACTGTACAAAGATTTACCATAGGTCCTTTTTTTTTTTTTTTGCAAAAGAAACCACTTCTTATAAGGCAGGCTTGACAGAAGGAGGACAAAAACAGTACATATGTAGTTATGAATCCGCTGTGGCAAAATAATTTTTATTGGAAAATTTTGTTACTTGCACACATTCGGATAAATAATCTATCAATTGTTGGTTTATTAATAACTTGGAAAATTTTGTTGCTCGCAAAAATTTGGACAAATAACCTATCAATTGTTTGTTTATTGAAACTTGGAAAAGGTTGTTACTCGCAAACATTTGGGCAAATAATCTATCAATTGTTTGTATTGGTTCATTTTAGAAAATTTGTTACTCGTAAATCTTTGGACAAATGATCTATCAATTGTTTGTATTGGTTCATTTTAGAAAATTTGTTACTCGTAAATCTTTGGATAAAATTGTTTGTTCTATTGCTTTATTTTAATACTGACCTTTTGATTAAAAATAATCTATTTGATTTGTTTGTTTTATTATTTTATTTTACACAGTGAAACTCAATTCAGCGGATTTTGATTTAGCGGATTTAAGGGTTTAACGGATAAAATTTCGGAACAAAATTTTTTTATAGTTATTT